ATGCCAAGTAAACTGTATCATGGCAGCCCCCCACCCCCCACCGAAATGGGTGGGACAGAAGCAGAAGGAGGTTCTTAAAGAGACAGAGGCCAATTTCAAGGCATTTAGAAGAGGAAGGGATGAGAAGATAATTTTGTTTTCTATTTAAACATAAAAACAGCATTTTAATAACAGCTAAAGGTGACATAAATACTTTATTATGGTATAGTATTTAAATATATGCCTGAGAAACACTGAATATTGACCCTTTAAAACAATTCTTAAACTATAAAATGTGTAAAATGTAGATAAATGCTGAAGTTAGAGAAGCTGCTTTATTTTGCTAAAAGCTAAATGTGATTTAAAATGTTGTTAAAAGCTAAATTTAGATAATCTGTAACAAAAAGTAACAATTAGCACATACTTTAGGAATAGCAAAAGCTTAATAAAGCACAGCTATAAGCAGATGTGTACCTACAAGCTGAAACGAGCAAACTGTTGCTAAAAGCCAAATTTAGCAATACTGTAGGTAAAATCAAACATTTACTAAAACTTAGCAAATAACAAAAATTAGCTAAACTGTCACTAAAAAGGATAAAAAACAGATTGAGATGAACATTTTATAACCAAACGGCACAAAATATGAGGGAGAAATTTAACTGGAAACAGGAAAGAGTAGCAGAATATGAATCTAAAWYCACATTTCAAAATAAAAGCTCAGTTTAAGTTAATTTACCTTTAAGAATTAGTGCAAATTCTGTCATTTTCTGTACATTTTGGTCTGTTAATAGATCCAAACAGTAGAAAATCTCAGATCATTGTTTCTTTTTTTTTATACAGAAATAAGAAACKTGGATCCAAACAGTCCAGTCCTCGTGCAGCAGGGTCCAGGTCCAGGTCCAGGTTCAGATCACTTAATTTATCCCCAAGATCTCATCAGTTTGTCTGTTTGCAGCTCAAAAACCTAAACAAAAAGAAAAGAGCAGTATTAAAAGGACACAGAGGATCTTCAGACCCAGGATCCAGTAGTCCGAGGAGGGGTGGATCAGAACCAGGCCCGTCAGCGAGCCCTGATCGTTCAGGTACACAGCACCCGGCGTGAACCCTCCGTGGACCAGGTGCCAGCGTCTCCACCTCGCTCCGCCTCGTCGGTGCTCTGGAGAAAACAAACACGTTTTCAGAGTTGAAACAGGTTTTAGACTCAAACACGTGAATTAATGAACGAAAATCAAAAAATGTTTTTATTTCATCTTTACTCGGTTCTGGAGGAGACAGATCATCGTTTCATTCTTCCCTGTTTGGTTGTGAATAAACAGGTGAGAATAACGGGCCAGAACAAACACAGACAACTTTCTCACCCTGAAACCAACCGAAGGGTTTCTTGGCGTTGGGCAGAGGCCAGCGAGAGCACGACGCGCTCTGGAAGCTCTGTTTGCGGCTCGAGTAGAGTCTCGGGAAGAGAGATTTTACCGTCTGGTCGAGCTCTGAGAGGAAACAGGAAATAAAATCAGCTGAAGTTGAAGGATTAGTTGTAACATCAGACTTTATTTAATAAACTTTTATTTTAACAGTAAAATAAAGACTGTAAAAATACTGTAGGCTGTTTTTAAAAATATATTACAGGAACGGAGACATTTTATTTACTCGTTGACAGAGAGGAGAAGGTAGAAATGACTCAGCCTGGAACTGAAAATATGGATGGAGGACAACAGAGC